GAACCACCTGCTTGAGTCCATGCCACTACGCGAGGGCAGCAGCTTCCGGGATCTGTTGGGGGACGCCCTGTCCGGGACGCCGGGAGCCCATGCGCGGAGCAACTGGCCAGTAGGAGGCGCCTTGGGGTCCCCGCTGCCTAGCCCCCGGGGCTCAGGGGACGACCAGTCCTCCGACCTCGAGGAGGCCCCTTCCGAGGGGCCGGACTTGGTGACCGCAGCCTTGGGCAGCCTGACTGCTGCCCGCATAGCCCACAGTGTCTGGAGGCCTTGGTGACCAACGCCAGCCTGGGGTCGCCCTTCCCTTGCTCTGTTCCCTCCTGCCTGGCGTCCAGATGTGGCAGGGCAGAGTCCTGGATGTCTCCCAGTTCTCCCGCCCTCCTCCAGTGTATGGTTTGCAGGGCAGTTCCAGATAATCAGCCCAGCAAGGCCCCTAGCCCTTCTTCTTAAGGGAGTAATTTTTATGGACATCCCACCGCCCACAACTCCCTGGGAGGTGGAGGGAGCTCCAGGCAGGAGGAAGAATCACACAGGGCTACCAGGCTTTCTGGGGTTCACCCGTGCCACACTTCTCAGGCACTGTGTGGGTGTAGGGGCAGAGGTGACAGTGGTGCTGAGCCTCTCCTCCGTGCTGGGCACTAGTGTCAGGCAGAAGGACACCTCAGGCCCTGGCAGCCCTGGCCTGAGCAGAAGCGCCAACTTGCCCTTTGGCCAGGACTCAGGGGAGGCTTTCTGCAGCCTTGGCTGCAGAAGCAAGGCTCTCTGTACGTCTTGCGGTTAACACACTTGAGTTTGTGTATTACATAGCCGTCAGATGTTCCAATTCTGTTAAAGGATTTTGGAGAGTTAGCCACCCTTCTGAAGTTTTGCCGAATGCTGTGCATAAATACTAAAACAAGCACATTTTTTCCTGTATGTAGTGCTGTGAGTGTTTTTTAAAACTTGCCACTCTATGTCCGCAGAGTGAGTAGTGTTATGGCAGTGGAGACGGGATACCCCATGGCACATCTCATGGGGAACAGTGGTTCCACCTATTGCCAGGTGGCTCCAGATGGGTTTGCCCTTCAGATCCTCGGGCTCAGCCTGCTCTCCCTAGGAATTGTGTGCATCCTGGAGATGGATACCACTGGATGGAGTCTGTCTCCCAAGTAACCAAGCAATAGGGAAATGGCCTGTCCCTGGACCATTCTCTTGTTCATGAGCTTCAGGAAATAAAACTAATGCCTGATTGCTAGCCATATGGTTTGGAAGTTTCTTTCAAAAATATGTTTTAGGGGGCCATGAGTGCAAGGCAGATGTCGGTCTACTTAGGTCATCACTTTTCTTGACTGAAGAGGGAGCTTCCCCATTGCCAAGGACCTCAGGGACATGGAGCCCACCCAATTCATGGCCCAGGCAGCCTGGACTTGAGGGCAGAGTGGGCCCAGGAGGTCAGAAACCCTGGAAGGAGGGTGACAGGATGGGCAGCTGGGATATAGGGAGACTGCCCTTCTAGGCTGGGTCAGGGCCTGCAGATGACAGCATGTGGCCAGGTGACAGCAGTCGCTGCCACGGAGAGCCAGCCCCACATCTCCTGTTCCAGGACCCCATGCAGCTTGTTCTGGTTCTCACTTTGGGTTGCAGTGCCCAGGCCAGGTCAAGGTGTGACAATTGAGGGTTGACACCTGGGTCTCCTCTCCAGTGGGTGCCTCTGCAGGAACAACATCTCTCCCAGGAGCCCTTTTACAAAAGCCACCCAGGCAGGTCCTGGTCACCAGGGGTACTTCCCCCTGGCTCCCCTGTGATTCAGTCTTAGACCTCACCGACCGGGCTGCAACCTGATGCAGCTTAATTTTAGCCACTGGGGATGAGTTATTGAGGAATTGGGGTGGGAGAGACAGGCCCATAAAGGGGAGCTCAAGAGGGATGGAGACGTTTCCTGGGATTATTTTAATTGCCCCAGACAGATTGATGTAGGATGTGTCCACAGGGACGCAGATGGAGGGCACCCACCTGTAAGACCTCTGTCCCGTGTGGCTCCCAGCAGCACTTCAAGGCCACTGCGATGAGCTCTGCTGCCAGGTGGGGAGCATCAGCCAGAGGTTCCAGACCCTCTGACTTGCTCACTGACCTGTCAGAAAGACCCACTTGTTCCTCTCATATCCACACGTGTCACATCCTCCCAGAGGCCCTAGAAAGGGGCCAAGTGGAACCCAGGACACAGGATTTTGAGTTGCAGGAGGCTGACCTGGGGGGACAGATGTTGCTGGGTCCGGGACCCTCCCTCGGTCAGAAGCCACTAACCCTAAGCTCTGGTCCGGTGCCCCCTCCCACCTATGAGCCAGCTTCTCCAGAACCCCTCAGAGCAGCCTCTCTTCTTTCTCACAAATGTAAATGGCTCCCAGAATAGAGACCACTGTCTGCCTCCATGGGGGGAGAGCTGCTTTTGCCTGTGGTGCAGCCTGGGACCACAAGTTTCCTGCCTGCAAACAACTACCTCACACCACCTCCTCTCTCCGAAATTCCCTAGGCATCCTCGCAAACCTTCCTCTAGGCATTTGATAGCCTCGCTTCATCACTGCCTGAGAATTGCCTCCTTCGCACTTCAAATCCCAGGCCCACTGTATTAGTCTTCTCTGAATGCCAAAAATTGCTACAAACTCGGTGTCTCAAAGCAACACAAATGTATTATCTTGCAGTTCCGTAAATTAAATGTCTGACATGATTTGCTGGGCTCAAGCCAAGGCACAGATGCGTTCCTTTCTGGGGGCTTGAGGGTGAATGTATTTCTTTTCTATTTCCCACTACGGAGGTCCCCCACATTCCTTGGCTGGTGGTACCCTGCCTCCATCTTCAAAGTAAGCAATGTTGCATCCATCTGACCTTCCTTTCCATACTCACATCTCCTTCTGATCCTCCTCTTCTGCCTCCCTCTTCTTTCTACTTTTAAGGACCCTTGTGATTACTCTGAGGCCACCTGGATAATCCAGGATAATCTCCCTACCTCAAGGTCCTTAAGCCTCAATGAGATTTGCAAAGCCTCTTTTGCCATGTAAGGTAACATAGTCTCAGGTTGTGGAAATGAGGGCAGGGCCATCTTCGGGGGGCCATCACTCTGCCAACCACACCTGTGCCTCTGCCCAGGCATTCTGCCTTCCATGGCAACGCAGTGGTGCCAGACTCCACGTGGGCACGGCGTTCCGTACCCTCTGACTTGCTTGCTGACCTTGCTCTCTACACCATATCATTAATCTCTCCTCCCTTCTGGATCATTCTCACCGACCTACAAACAAGCTGTAATATCTCCATCTGAAAAGAGGAGAGAGAAAATCTCCCTGGGCCCGACGTACCTAACAGCCTCTGCCTTTCTCTGCTTTAAAGCAAAATTACCTGAAGGCATGGTCTGTACTTATTGTCTCCACTCCTGCACCTTTCCGTCCCCTTCCTTCTCTCCAGTCTGGCTATTGTCCCCGCCCTGCACTGAAACTGCCCTTGTCAAGATCTCCAGTGACGTCCATGCCTCCAAATCCAGTGACTGTGTCTCTGTTTTGATTTACTCAACCTTCCAGTGAAGCACTCCTCGGGGGTTATCAGTCTCCCTCCTGGAATGC